CTCTCTAAGAGAAATATCTGACATATATAAAAAGGTTATATTCAAAATGTATCCCAAATATTTACCTTTGTAGATGCAAGGAATCAGTTGATTTATAATTTACTTCAATTGGGGGTGTTTCGAAACATTTTTTTAACTTAACAAAAATCAGGACAAGCAACTAACGGAAGACAAAACTGCTAAATCACAGATCTTGAAAGGAAATCAGCCAATCTATTTCTTGTCTTGATTTTAGGGAGAGTTATTCAAGACACATGCACTTTTTAAAGAGACTATGAGACATGGAATGTTAACAATCTTCATTGTCAGGAAACTTCCTAAAATTTCTTCTAAATGCCTCATGCATCACTTTAGGCTCATTTCCTCTCATTGAACAGAGGCAGGACAGCTGGCCGGCTTCTCCCATCTGCACTGCCTTACCCTTCTCCTAACTGTGTCATAGGACACCCTTCTGAAATGGGAGTGGAAGGCCGATTTGAAACCAGAGTGAAAACACTAAAAAAAAAAAAAAAAAAAAAACGGTCTTGTGGAAAATAGCGTTTTAAACTTAACTTTGAATGGGGCTACTACAGATCAGGTCAACAAAGGTTCCGAAATACTGGAGTACTACCCCTTGAATAATTCAGACCAATTCTTAAACAGTATTATGGGGTCATAAAACACCAAGCCTGGAAATTAAAGATTTTTATGCTTCATCAAAAAGTCTTTGAATGTAATCCTTGGCACACTGCCAACAAGGGCAGCTCTTTGGGGGAAAACCCTATGCCAAAGGCCAAAGAGGCAGCTGTGTTATTCAGCTCCTGAGAGCTTCCAACTCAACACCCACACAAGCTCAATTATGAACAAATTAAAGGGATCCAGACTGAACATAGTAATTCTGGTAATTAAAATAAATAGAGAAAAGCCTACAATTAGTAGGAAAAGATTGATTTTGTGGAAAACCCAGAAGTATCTACCCAGTCTCCTAAGTGACACCCTAACCCCTTTGAATAAGCATAGTTACACCCAATTATTTAAAAATAAATTTCCTTTTATTCATCATTTTAATCACTTCTGATCTGACTTAAATGTGACCATATGTATGCCACTAAAAGTATCCACAATATTCTGAGGCAAAGGAGTCTCAAAAAAAAAAAAAAGAAAACAAAACAAAACCTATAATGGGTTTATAGAAATTAATGACACTGAGTAAAATTGTAATCAGAGTTGTACACCTGCATTTTAGAGCATATAGATAATGGGCTACCCATTTCAGGAAGGTTTAATATATATCTCTATAGTTAATCAAATGGGCATCTTTTCAAGTGAAGAGATACATTTAGTCATACAAAAAGAATCAAGGATTCACTACTGGGGAATCTATTAATTAATTCACATATATTTTATTAATGGAATAAAGAGCAAAATATGCATCATCACCTTGTATAGGTTCTTAAAATAATAAAATTCAACATTCATTCCTGATTTTAAAAAAGTTTTTTTAAAAAAACTTTTAGGAAGCCAGGAATACAAAGAAACTTATCAATAGTTAGCTTGATAAAATGTTTGATAAAATGTTTCTATCAGGAACCAATAGTAAACATTATAATTAATGATCACATAAACACACACATACATATAGAAGTATTCATGTTTAATCTTTAAACTCTTTTGGATTAGCTAATTCTACAGTTTATGTGGAAGAATAAATGCATACAAAGAGCCAAGTTATTTTACAAAATAAGAAAAATCAGAGGAAGATTATGCTATAATCAAAATACAAAGTAACAGCATGATAATTTAAACAGGGCGACCCTGGCTTGGACCAGACTAATACAGCAACAGAATAGCATGTCTAGAAATCTGCTCATGTATGTATATATGGGAATTTAGTATTCAATGTAACTGTATTTCACATTAATAGGGAAAAAATGGAAAAGTCAATAAATGCTATTAATAATTTGCCTATTTATGTGGAGAAAAATTCTCCCACTTCATACCCCGTGGATAAAAATATATTATAGATCGCTAAACATTTAAAAAAGGTATTTAAAGGTACCAGAAAAAAAATAAATGAAGTAAACAGAAAACCCAAATGTCATAAAGGAAGAAAAGATGAAAGTATTTGACTATAACATGAAATTTTTTTATGGTAAAGGACATCACAAACTAAAAAGACCAATAATAGATTGTGAGAAATTATTTCCAACATGTATAGCAAAGTTCTAAAAATGAAAGAGAAAAAGAATTAGCAAATGGCAATACTGGCAAAGGATATAAATAAGCAAATCGAAAAATAAGAAATACAAATGAACCCCCCAATCCTGCTACAACAAAAAATAAAACTCTCAATCAAGCCCACATTCCAACAAAAGAGGAAGAGAAAATTAAACTGTAAATCAACATTCATTACTATAACACTACGCAAATATTACCAAGAAACAACAAGTGACATAGACAAGTACACAGATAGGGAAGGAAATAGATACTTTCTCAACAAATACACAGCAAGCTACTTTTAAACCATGTTTGTTTCTGGTGAATAAGTGAAAGACGTGGAGGTGAGGAGGCTCTGTTATTCATAATAAGAATTGTCTGTGTTTGGAAATATAAGTGAAAATAAGTAAATGGAACCTTTAAAATAGTTTGAACACAGGAACAATGACTCATTGACATGCAAGTTAAAATACTAGCTTAGACTCAGCAGCAAAAGTGAAAGAAAAATAGATATGATGCTGATGGGGCCCATTAACCTCTGAAGAGTCCTACAGGCTTTCCACAGGAGAAATAGCCCAGATTAATTGATTACCCAATAAATAGGAGGTTTTTATCTTTATTTTTTATTTTGAACCATATAAAACTGTTTTTCTGGGTCAAAAATAGTCAAATAGCACTAATTTGGTATTCAACCTAAATACTTTAGGATACTTTAAAACCTTTTAAAGAATGGATCTTAATCCTGCTGTATTATTCTTATAAACAGAATCACCCACCTTTTTAGCAAATAAATTAATTTCTGACATTAGCCCAATACGAGATAGAGAAATAAACTACAATTCTATTCCTCTAATCAAATAGAAAATACACTTTCAAATGTTTACCACTCAGGTATTACCTGAGTTAATTCACTGAGAACGTCAACACATTTATTAAGCTCATTCATTAGACTGTTCTGGGGAGCAGGTTCAGAATGCTCCTGGAATGCTGAAGCTCTGGGCCTTCTGCAAGACTATTAGCTTTAAATTGGTACTTCCTAGAAGGGACCAAACTTGGATGATTACTCTAAAAATGTTTTTACAGCACATTATTGAGTACTTCAGCTGTATGGTGCATTTTAGCCAAGGCTTTTACTTTGGTACTTGTGTCCTTAAGAAAAGAGCTCATGACCTGCCCAATATTGTGAATTGAACAAACTTATGGTTTGTTCAATTATACTATAAATGCCTGTCATGTATAGTATATATAGAATAAAATGCAATGTATGACTGCTAACTTTACATTTTTTTTGCAATAACTATTTCACTTTAAAACCTCTCAAAAACAAAGTTTTCAGTAATAAAAAATATAAACAGAAATTCTGTTTCTGGACATGTCTTAGATTTTACATTTTACAGATTTTATAATATTTATCCTCTCTTAAATTAAAATAGAGGCGATCTGATTTTCTTTTGCAGAGATTTTTTTTTTAACCATAATAACTAGCTGCTCTTTTTTTTTTAATTAAGTGAGGAAAACAGTAATATATTTCTCCCATCAAAAATAAGACTAGTTTTTAGGCATTCGTCTTCTTTATAGAGAAATTGGAGAGACAGAACAGGAAATGTTTATCAAGCACTCTATAAAAATGAACTGCTCCTTAAATTATTAGTAATAACTTATGTCACTGTCAGACATTTTTCCTTTGTTTTGTCAAAGGTTCACGCTTGAGAAAATACCCTTTCTGACCAGTGCTCAAGACAGCTTCCTTGTTAAGGTTTTCTATCTGTCTCTCAGTATAGGTGATTACAGCAAATGCATCCCAGTGATTTAGTTCATTTATACAAAATAGAATCAATTTCTCTTGTTTCATCATGATTGAGCATTTTCCTGAACTCTTGTAAATGAATAACAGATAAGCACTGTTTATCAGTTTGGTTGGTAAAGCTTGCAGTTTTGATTATTTTATTTATTTTCTTGTTGCTAATAATGAAATATATAACATGCCTCAAGAAAATACAATTGCAGATCTTGGCCTCTGAGCTTTCAAGAAGCAATGAATATTTTGCTGAGAATTTATTTTGCGCCCACATTCTTTCTTCTCTAATAGCACTCTAACAGCCCACACACGGGAGGGCAGTGATTTTCTCGGGTATCTGAGATGTCTTCCAGGGCCTATACACACAGTTGACAGCGGCCCTTGTTCTGCCTTGGTAGCTGATAGTCACCCAGAAATTCCCTGTGGTGGTCAAGACCTCAATGAGATTGTTCAGGCATAGACTCAGGGTACCTTGACATCTTGTATCTGGCAAGCCCGGGGGACCCTTTCTTCCCTCCAATGCCACAGGTTTTGCCACAGGATTGGCAGTTAAGAGGTGAATCTTCTCCATTGCTTCCATCCCTGTCCACTGGAGAGAAGGATGGCACCAAGGGAGAAGATTCCTTCAACCACATGCTTCTCCCAGGCTCTGCCACAGGTAAGCCCACAAGGAACGGAAATGCACTAGCAGAGGTGAGAGAGCAAATACAAAAGCAGGTGAGTAGACCCTCCAGAAGGAATTGTGTTTTTCTGACCTGTAAAATGGAGGACAGTTTACAGACCACTCTATAAAAATAAATCACTTCTCTTTCTTTTACAAAGGGGGTAATTACAATGAAACGTGTGAGAGGAGGTAGGAAGAGGGGATGGCTACTATCCCTTCCTCCAGCCTTCTGCAGTTCTTGCTCCCTGATGTGTGAGTTGAAGGGACAAAACCAGGACATTTGGGAAGATAGATGGGCTGAGGCTGGAGAGATGACCTGGATGTCACCTCACCCTTGCTTACCAAGGTCCATGCTCTTCGAGGCTTTCAGATTAATTGATTCAGGCTGCCTGGCCGGTGTCACAGATCTGAAGTTGATGTGCTGATCCGGAAAAAATACTGCTGAATCCACCCCAGAGCTGTGGAAGGAAGCCATACACTGTACTTAGATTTAAAAGGTTTAAAATAAAATCTTTTTATAGAAAGGTGTGTGTTCGGGGAGGGGGGAAGGCAGTTCTCATTTTGAACACAGCTGCTCATCACTCTCGCTACAGCTTCCAAACCATGTATTTTAAACTAATTCTTAAATCTCAGGTTTCTTTTATGAGACATAGCGACTCTGTTTTCATGTATTTTATCACACTGTACAATTTAAATAAAATATTCTCTGAGTAATATCGTGTTTTACTCTTCACTGATTTCTGCTAATTGGGATCCTGCTGTACACTATATAACTTCAAGTGGGTAAGGAGAGCCTGGGAAGCACTAGCACTTCAAAGAATGTCACCAGCTATTAGCAAAGCCCAAAAGCAGGTTAAGAGATTTCTGTGGGCTAAGCATGCCCTTCCTTTAAAAACAAGTGAAAGCGCTGTATCCTTTAGAGAAAACCATCCTGTTGAATGACCGATGGCTGTAGGAGTTTGGTTTTCTACTTTATTTTGTTCTGTTTTCTAAAACTGTTAATGCTTAGCAGATAGTCTGCTCATCAATAACACCAAAAGGAAATAACAGGAAAAGCACAGTTGACAACTTAGACACAAGATACATCAAATGCCTGTTACAGGCTTCTTAGTACTTGTAGTCAATTTCAAAGAATTTTCTTTGTGTTGAATATTTATTTTGCTTAAGGTTGGAGGAGATTATATATGAGAATTACAGAAAATGGTTTATTTCTTGATCTAGGAATAAATTATATTAATATACTTTTAATAAATTAAATTATAGCCACTTTCTCCTTTGGCATTCTCCTGTTTAGAAAGTAAATACAGTGGCCCATCTCAACATAACTGCAATCTTAATCTCAAATACAGTGAAAATTCAAATGAAGTATCTTTAGGAAATCCGAAACTACCAAAGCTGTGTTTTTCAAACAGAGTTTGATACTTTAAACAGCAAAACAACAACAAAAGTAACTATTTTGAATGAGAATCCTTCTAAAATGTACACAGGAATCTTGACTTTTAAACTAATCATACCAAAGTAAGTTTAATCTTTTCTTGAAACTCATCAGTCATGCATATTTAATATTGTCTTGCAGCAATGTTAAAATTAATATATAGCAATAAGAATACTGCTGAATGAATAAATGAACCTTCGTTACTACAATACAGTGGGTAGAGCGAGGAAGTACCCACGACGGGCAGCAGAGTGCTCAAGAGCACTGACACCTGAGTGGGTCTGTCTTATTTTAAATCCTGGCGCTGGCACTCACCAGCTGTGTCACCTGGGTGAGTTACTGGACCTGTCTGTGCTTCAGTTTCCTTATGTATAAAATGAGTGTAACTACACTCTCGACCTCAAAGGGTTGTTAAGAGGATAGAAGGAGTTAATATTTGCAAAGTAAGGAAGTTAGTGTCTGGCACAGAGTAAGTGCTATAGAAGCCTTTAGGTAACAAATAAGCAGATGAAGATCTGTTTTTGCTTTCCAGATGGATATAAGTTTCTGAGCCTTTCCAGTTACCTCTGCTTTTTACAGTTGCTTTGCCATCTCTGTTTCCGTCAGACTCTCAGTAGGCCTGTGACTAGGAGCCCTGCTCCCCTTGCATTTAGAAGGGTCATGTGGTGTGATGGTTAGGGGCCTGGGCTTTGAAGGGACATGTCAGGGTGTGTGGCCTCAGTTTCCTCATCCATAAAATGGGCAGTAATAGAATTTATGCTGTAAAGTTTTTGTAAGGATTAAATATATGTTAAATATCAAGAAAAGTGCCTTACACATAATAAGAGCTTAATCATCCTGAGCTATTGATAATCCATTTCTTTATTTCTGTAAGTTAAGTTAGAGTGGTCTTTGAGGGCCTGAGGCACTCTCCAATGGAAAGATTCTACATGTTTTCATAAAAATTTTTCAAGAAGTTTAAATCCACTCTTTTAGAATTATAATACTCTTTCTGGCTTCTTTCCTGTTGTCTGGTACATTCTCAATACACAAAGCTCCTGAAATTAGACCTAGTCTCTGGTGATGGCAAAACATGCCAACTGTGAACAAAAATGATTGATCCGCTTAGTGTTATTGACACTGGTGTAGCCTCATAGAAATACTTGGATTGTTTTCAGCCCTTTTTTTTTTTTTTTTTTTTGAGACACAGTCTCACTTTGTTGCCCAGCCTAGAGTGAGTGCTGTGGCGTCAGCCTAGCTCACAGCAACATCAATCTCCTGGGCTCAAGCAATCCTCCTGCCTCAGCCTCCCGAGTAGCTGGGACTACAGGCATGTGCCACCATGCCCAGCTAATTTTTTCTCTATATATATTTTAGTTGGTCAATTCATTTCTTTCTATTTTTAGTAGAGACAGGGTCTCGCTCAGGCTGGTTTCGAACTCCTGACCTCAAGCAATCCGCCCGCCTCGGCCTCCCAGAGTGCTAGGATTACAGGCGTGAGCCACCGCGCCTGGCCGTTTTCAGCCCATTTTAAGGAATTTTGAGATACTACTATGAACATGAGCTTCTCCCTGAGCCCTGGTGTTTTGGAACCACTTGCCTTTCAATGTGTTATTCGACCTTTATTTGCACTTAGTTTTTCATCCTTTGATCTCTTGTGAAGATGTGGGCTTAGTGTCAGAAAGACTCATGGCCTTTATAGAATCAAAAAATTTAAGAGCTGGAAGGGATTAAAGGTCACCCCATCTTTTAGATAAGATCCTGAGGCTCAAAGAAGAGGACTGACGTTCCAAGGTCATACAGATGGCCGGGGGCAAAGCCAGGACCAGAGCTACAAGCTTTGGCTAAGATGATGGTCAGCCTGGGACACAGCTGTTGCTGATCCTGAATTCACAAAACTCAAGCCTTTCCCTTTTATGGTGCAGATTTGCTCACACCCCCTCAGGTAGTTTACATTTTAGGTTAGCTTTTTGTTTCAACAAAGTGATGTACATCACAGAATAAAAGAAAACCAAACAGTTAATAAAGCAGATGCCACACCTTATGATGAAAGTCTCCAGGGAGTAGGTTTAGGATCAACATGAATATTCCTCATTAAAACATAGATCACACTGCATTTAAAGCGCTCTGCTTAAGGCAGACTATGGGAATCTACCCAGCTAAATAATGTATTGGGGAAGCCTATTCATTGTCTTAGATGTCTTACCAAAATAGGCATTAGTGGACAAATTAGGAATAAGACTCAAATTTTCTCCGACTCTTGGGTAAAAATCATCCCAATCCTCATTTGAAAAGTAAGGTGGCAATGCCACTAAAGTGAATTTTTATACAAATGTTGGGATATAATCAAGAACGATCAAAGAAATAAAAAGCTGCTTTGTACATATAAATACAACAAATATTTATATATATATTATGTCCATTAAATTGATCATAATTAGATATATGTGTGTATGTGACCATTATTTTGATTGTGACCAACTGTACACTTTGGAACCTTCAATAAAAGGGTCCCTCTTGCTGTGGTACAACATGGAAATAAGGCAAAATAAGGCTGATACCAGACTGGCAGATATTTAAGGAGAGAAGTGAGTGCAACATAAGACATTATGGGATTAGAGTCAATGTGAACATATAGTGCACTGAAATAATCAGTGAATGTAGCATTGAATTAATGTGAAAATATTTTAGACATGCAAGTTTGGCTAATAAAATGGTTTGTAATTTTATGCTACATATCGAAAGTGTTGGGCGTGAGAGGGTAACACGATGATTAACTATAAAATATGACATTTTAATTTTGAAGGGAGCTACTATGTGCTCATGGCTGAGTGGGCTGCAGTAGGGGTGTGGGAAGCTGGAAGCTGACAGCAGGCCAAAGACATGTCTTAGATAAAGGCCGTGTTTTCAGCATGAACAACCAAGGAATCTACCAGATAGAAACGATACTCAGTGTCAAATTATGCTGCCTAATGAATAAATAAGGGTAGCATGAAACATACGCCAGTGTCCTAACTACAGTGACAAACCAGGAATGTGAAAGACATGCAAGAGCCATCAATGAATGTTTAAAGTGAACTGTCTGAAGTAAAAAAGGAGGAGATGAAGATTTTGAGAGGCATGCCAAAAAAACTATGTCTGAAGCCTCAGGTGTCCAATCTTCCAACAATTGGCTACTGTGAGTGAGAGTAAATGCAGGTATGTGTGTGAAGTAAAGACAGGGACAGAGGGAGAGAGGGGGAGAGTGAAGGAAGAGGCGAAGGGAGGAGGGAGGGAGGGAAAATGTGAACATGTAGGGAATACGCAATTGTTTCCTAAACTGTTAATAGCACTCATTACATTCTGTCTGCTGTTGATTTGCCTTCAACTCTCTCCAAGATCTCACAGTAAAAATAATATTTCCCTTTTATTTATTTATTTATATACACATATTCAAAACTTTTCTCTAATAATCATTGACATGATAGTACAAATGGGTTCAGCAATTTCCTGATTTCATTTTGTACAGGCATTAAGTTTGATCCAGTTTGTTTTTCCTTCCTCATGCAATAGCAGTTCTCTGTTTTTTAAGACCTGGCTCCACCCCTCAAGCACCCCTGGCTCTTTCCTCTTAGAAGGCTTTTACATTTGTTTTGAAAAACAGGCCAGCCTCCCTTGCTCAACCTTCCTGGCTCCTTTCCAATCCTTCCTCTATCCCAACTTTCACACATCCAAACCCTGCTGCTGCTGGTCACCTAGGCAACGCAGCAGCTTGTAGGATGGTGTAGGTCACAGGATCCTAGGAGAAGGGAGAGGGAGAGTTTCAAGGCTTAAGACTTCTTCCCCCCATTTCAAAATGTCTCTGTCCTTTCTTCTCCACCCAGACTCCCTCGATCCCGCCCTGCTCATCTCTTGTTAGTTCCAAGTCCAACTGGCCTTCTCATCTATGGGGGCTTCCTCCATTCACTGTCACTGCAGTCCCCAACTCCAAGGCCTGCAGGAACCGGGCTGCGCAGCAGGAGCTAAGGGGTGGGGCAGCAAGCAAAGCTTCATCTGTATTTACAGCCTCTCCCCATAGCTGCATCACTGCATAGGCTCTGCCTCCTGTCAGATCACTGGTGCCATTACATTCTCTTAGGAACACGGACCCTACTGTAAACTTCACATGCGAGGGATCCAGGTTGCGTGCTCTTTATGAGAATCTGATGCCTGATGGTCTGAGGTGGAGCTGAGGCGGTGATGCTAGTGCTGGGGAGCAGCTGCAAATACAGATTATCATTAGCAGAGAAGTTTGACTGCACAACAAATGTGCTTGAATCATCCCCAAACCATCCCCATCTCCTGCTCCAAGTGCGTGGAAAAATTGTCTTCCGTGAAACCGGTCCCTGGTGCCAAAAATGTTGGGGACCACTACACTATCCTCCATAACTGAAATCTCTCAGCTGGGTATCATCATGCCCAGGCTCTCTGGAGAAGCATGGCGTTCACGCAGCATGGCAGACAAAGCCCTTCCCCTGATTCTTCCCTTAGCTTAGACAACTTCCCTTCCCTTAGAAGCTGAGATACCGTAAGCTTCAGCTACACTGAACTCACGATGCAGTCCCTTCTCTCATCACTTGGTTTTCCTAACCTAAATTGTCCTTCCCACCACTTCTATGCCTAGTGAGTTCTTTCCCATACTCCAAGAAACCACTTAAACACTGCTCTCCTTCCTTGACACATGCAGGTAGAATTGGTGGCCCATTGCTCCGGGGTTCCACGGCATTTTGCATCTAATGTTTAGCAGGCTGCATTCTAATTATCTGTGTGTCTGTATCTGTGTGTCTGTCTCCTCAAGAGGACAGGGATGTTTGCAGGCAAGGATGTTTTCTAATCCATTCGAGTTCCTTCTACAGTGTTTGGCTCAGAGCTCCAGAAAAACTTTTGAATGGATGAGTAAATCAATACCTTAATAACCAAATACTGCAGAGTGGAAAAGAAGAATAAAGTCTGAGAAAATGTCATACTTTTGACTGAAAGGAGATTACTGTTGATGATTAAGAAAGCAGTTCTAGTAAAACTGTGAGAACAGAGGCCTTTAGGGAGAAGGAAGCTGAAAGAAAATGGAAGTCACTCATTCATAACCACGTAATGAAGATTTACAGTAGTGAGGACTAATATAAATTTTTCCCCCCTCCAAATCACACAGGAATGTGCTTTGTAAGAAAGGGAAGGGAAGAAATCTGTGGAGTCATTGAAGAAGCCAAAAATGCATTTGTTAAATCCCAATAATTCTATCTCTGCAAGCACTTCTCTGATCTCGGAAGCACTTCTCTCACCTGCAGGCCTCTCATCTGAGCGCTTCTCCCATCCTCCCCTGCAGAGATGCTTGGTACCTCTGCCTGCAAGCACCCCAGGAGGCGCCAGAGTCTCTGGCTGCTGGTCGGTATCTACCCTCTTCTATTTACCCAACTCATGTTATACACAAGAAAACTCCAGGTTTTATCCCATCTATTGTCTGCTAAAACCCTACAGTAAGATTTCCTATCTACCAAAAGAAGCCTGTGTACCTATCCTTGCACTCTGGACTTTATCATCCGGCTGATCAGCTGCAAGTTGTGCAAATCAATTTACTTTCCCACCTCCATGCTGTTTCTTCTGTCCTTCCCTCTCTCTCACTCTCAAATTCCTCCTGGGCTCATCTCATGTCCACCCCCTAAACATGAGTTCAGCAAGAATGACACTTTTACTATTGCATTTTCCATGATTCCACTATCTGGAAGCATTCTCCTCTGCCTCAGAAGCCCAGAGCATTTTATCTACACCTTCTGGTGTAGTACCTTATGTTCTAGTTGTCCCACGAGTCTAGCTGCCAGCCTACCAGCTTCTTGAAGGCAGGGTTTATATCTGATTCATCTTTACATCATCCCCACGGTTGTGCACATACACACAAGACAAACAGTAAAGCAGAACAAATGAAATTATTTTTAAAATGGATTTTTTATGCCACCCAATTGTCATTTTTGGTTCAGGATTGAGGCAGGCAACAGAAGTGAATGAACAAAATTAAATATATCCACCTTTTCTTTCAAGAAATCCCCAGAGATACTGATCAAGAACATTATTATGATTATCTATCTAGTTCATGAAATTGTAGTTTAATAAGATAACTGGCTTCAAAAATATAAGAGCCAGAGATGGCAAAGTATAGGTAAGCTTCCGTCTAATAGAGTTAGCTATACTCTGGTTGTGCTGCTTTATTTTTAGCAGATTGTATTAAAAAGCATAATAGAAATGACACTAGCATTGCTGCAAGAAAAATGAAGAAATTTCACAGGATTACCATGGGACATAGAATGGAATAAAATACACAGCTTTTAACAGCCATAATAAATACAGAAAATAGCAAAGGGACAATTTAATGATTTTTAAAACTCATCAGAAGAACAAAATCTATGAATTCCACTAGTCAAATAGTATGTATGCTTAGTAAATCTCTCTCCTCATGCTTGTGTGATTCTAAAACTTATTGATTTTTTTAGTTTCTATTACAGACTGGATATAATATTGGGTACCCTTTTCAATATTTTAGATTATGTATGGTGTTGCTTTAATTTTTATATTCCATTAACTTTCTTGGAACATCTATTTTTAAAATACCTTTAGGGTTTGCCAATTACAAATAGAAAGAAAGAAACCAAGCTTTATGTTTTCTCAGTTTTGTTTTGTACTTTTCCTATATAACTTTTCTTTGAGCTCCGCTGCTCTAGTTTTTAAACTTAGAAAATTCAACCATTTTCTTAAATATTTAGTAATATGAGATGAATCTTAACAAAGTCTAGGGAGCAAGATATGAACAATCTAAGCCATTCACCATGAGATGCTTTCACTGGAAAGGAATTATAGATACTATAAGATTTCCATTCTGGAAAGAAATAGAGTTAAAATAAGGTTGCCAAGTTTCCCCAGAAAAACAATAACGGGGAACATTTACGATAGATCATTTTTTCAATACCTGTGGCTGTAATCTTCAAGGCCCAATTCCAGACCAGGATGTGGCGGTGGGGAAGGTGGTACTTCGCTCTCAGCCCATCCGTCAGTGGGAAGCAATAGGTCTGTGAACACAGAAGGAATGGAGCTGTAGTGAAGTAGAGGCAGCACCATTCGGGGTCTGCTTTTGTTTCCATCTCTCGCACACAATTCTAGCCAACACATAAACCAGCCTTGAAATAAATAAGTCCTCACGCGGAACTGAGGGTTTCTTATGAGAACTAATGCAGCTCGTATGAGGAAAGCTGAGGCTGCTAATATGTTTTTACGCTGGTGACCTGCTGGCAACCCCGGGCAAATCAAGTCCATGCATCTTGACTACCTTTTCCCACAAACGGAAGGCTGACACATACTCATTACCTGTGATTTGTGGAAGATTAATGAAGTCATCTCTTTTATGCCTTAACATTTTTGTAAACAAGACTCTGTAATGAATACTCTGGATTATGTGGTGATTTAAGCATTTGTCTCAGTGGAAAAAGAAACTTAAAAAATCACAAGATATATCTACTCATCATTTAGACATAGTAGAAGATAAAAAATAAAAACAAAAAAACCACACTCTTTCTGCATCTGTTCCACAATGGAGACACCTGGGTATAAGGCCTTGTGAGCAAAAAAAACTGGGGTCTAAATCCTCATTTTCCAGCTTACCAAAAATGTATACTTTCCCAGTCTACTCTGTCCTAGAAAAATAGATATGTGTGCTGAATATCACTACAATTAATAAAAAGTAAGGTTTGTTAAGATCTTATTGTACACCAGACATTGTGCTAAGCATTATACACATTATTTCATTTAATGTTCATAATTAATGACAATATTAACTAATATATGAAAAGCATTATAGATTATCTCAGGTAAGGGCATGGTTTTTGGAGCAAGACTGCCAAGTTCCCAACCCTATTGCTGTGTGAACGTAGGCAAATTACTCAACTTTTCCAAGTCTCAGTTTTTAAATCTATAAAGTAGCAATAAGATGACCCCCATTGGAAGAGTCTGAGGATTAAATGAGATGGTACATAGTCAAGCAGTGATTTATTAATGCAAAGTGTTAAGTAAATGGAAAGAACTATTACTCCACAAATCATAAGTTCTATTATGTGTCCCTTACAGTGAGATATTTGGTAAAGTGTGGGCCCTATTTGTCCCTGATTGAGAGGATAAGAGAAAAAAACCTCTCTTTCCTTGAGAATCTGCTGCTGGAAACAGAAGCTGCTTTGACTTGTCCACATACCAGGTGACATGGTTAATTTTATATGTCAACCTGACTAGGATACAGGGTACCTAAATATTTTTCTGGAAGTTTCTGTGAGGATGTTTTGGATGAGATTAACATTTAGATCAGTAGACTGAATATAGCAGATTACCCTTGCTAAATGTGGGTAGGCTCATTCATCCAATGGGTTGAAAGCATGAATAGAACAAAAAGGCTGACCCTCTCCTGAGTGAGAGAGAATTCCTCTCGCCTGAGTGCCTTTGAAATGGGACATCAGCTTTTTTTCTGCCTTTAGATTTGAACTGAAACATTGGCTCTTTCTGGGTTTCAAGCCTGCCAGCCTTCAGACTGGAATTGTACCATTAGCTTTACTATTTCTCAGGTCTTTGGACTCAAACTATACCATCAACTCTCCTAGGTTTCCAGCTTGCCCTCTCATCCTGCAGATCTTGGGACTTGCCTGTCTCCATAATCGTGTGAGCCAACTCCTTATAATAAATCTATTTATGAACACTCTATACCCACTCCCCCAACATCTTACAGGTTGTTTCTCTAGTGAGGCCTGATGAATACACCAGCCAAGGACTTGCTCCAAGCTCTGCCCCTGGGACCAGTCTGATATGGAGGTAGTTGTGGCACTGTTGACATGTCCCTGGAAATGAGGATCGAAGCAGGAAATCCGAAGAGAGTAGGTGACCAGGGTAAAGAACTGTGATGAGCAGAGGTACCCAGTTCTGCCCCCTGCAGCCCCCCAACCACCAGGGATCCAGGATGTCATGGCAGCAGTCAGGCAGCTAGAGACTTGCTAACAGAAACAGTGCAGACGGACCATAATGTGCATAGGGGACAAGAGACATGTTAGGACGATATCCTTTCTGTCAGCTCTAATCTTTCTATTCTCAGCCTCTCAGCCCATCTTCCACACTAGTGGTAAATATTTGCGGTCATGTAACTTGTTGTTCAAAATCACTTCAGTTGCACACAATTGCTTACAGAGTAAAGTTTTGTGATCCTGGCAACCAACTTCATCACACTTCAACACACTCCAAGACCACACCCTCTGGGCTTTCCTGCCTCAATGTCCTTGCTTATCTAACTGCAAAAGCCACTGCACCTGGCAAAGTTCTACTGTCCTCCCAAGGTTCACCTTACATATCACCTTCTCCATGAAGCCTTCACAGTTGTCTAGGGTCTGTCAGTACCTTTGTAACAGCAGCACAGGGTACTGGTGCTCACCAAATCTGCACCCTTCCTCTCTTCCTGGGCATGCAGCTAGATACCATTCTTCAGCCCCTTTTGTCCCCACACTAGCTCCTGCCAAAGGAATGTGAGCTGCTATAAAAATGTCATTTCCATTCTCAGGGGTTATGAGACAGGTGCACCTTCTCCACTCTCCTCCCCCTTTCCTCAACTACCACCCCAAACCCAGGAAAGGAGGTGCTAGAAGATGGCCCAGCCACCAATGGAAGGTACCTGGCTCCCTTAATCAATGAATAGGCCAGCAAGCTATGGCCCTAGCCTCAAACCAGCCAGGTGCCTGGCTTTGTAAATAACGTATTACTGAACATGGCCACACCTACTGGTTTATGTCTGTTCTGCACTATCCTGGTAGAGTTGAGTTGTGAAAGAGATCCTACCCGGCCACTAAGTCTGAAGTATTTACTATCTGCCTTTTTGAGGACAAAGTTTGCTAACCCCTGCTTTAGACTACTCTTGAGGGCAATGGTGGTATTGCATTTGTCTCTCCAGGCCTGATAGTATATTCTGCAGAACAGAGGTATCCAATAAATATCAAACTGAAAGGTATAACTCAATCTCTGATCACCACTCCAGAGGTAAGGCCTTACGTGCCATAGAGGGGAGAAGCATGCTGGTTCCCAGGACGATATGCATTAAGAATAATTATAACATTTGTGTCTGCACAAAGCACCCCAGGGAACACAGATCCAGGGGGACAGGACACAGAACCAAACTGTTTGAAGTGAGGTAGGGATAAAAGCCTAACTTCAGGGCGAGAAGCCTGACTCAGACTTGGGGGCAGTGGGTGACAGGGTACGCTTGAGCTCAAGGCAAGGCAGCGGGGGAAGCAGGGGAAGAGGACAGAAGGGGAGGAGAGAGCAGTGAAAGGAGAGGGAACAGCAAACCCAAGTTGAGCCACACTGGGGCTATCACCCACCTGGGGTAAGATCACCAGCCCTCCCCCCACAAGACTCCTCGGCAAGCACAATGTTGGTGCACTTCATTACCATCCAAATGCTTAATAGGATTTCATAGTAAACCCTTGGGACACACTCTCCATCCTTATTACCATTTAGGAGCACCACACTTATTTCACTGTGGGTACTGCTACCAATTCTTCAACACAAATGTGAATTTACTGGTGTTACAATTTCTACAAACATTAGTTCTAAAAATGTCTTTTCTGTGTAACAGCTTGACAGGAATAAAAATATAAAATAAAATAACCAAGAACTGTGGGTGGTTTGTACTATTATTACAAAAATAGATGGAACACAGAATATCAACATTGGATTTTTAAATATACAAAGGAAAAGAAAAAGAGAAGAAAAAAAAAGTTAATGTTTTGGCTCTAACAGTTCCTCTCCTCACTAGACATTACATTTTGTCAAGTTAATCTTGTTTTTCTAAAGTAGGTCTCTAAGAAATATTGGTAGGGGTGAGTCAACACTCAGGTTTTATGAGTCTTAGCGGCCCGTTACCACCTTATGTGGGTCTGAAACTCAGGAACTCCCAATAGTTTTCAAAATGTAAAATGTTATTAATATTACAAATAGGTGATGAATATGGCATTCTTCTATAGCATAGTGTTTATAAATTCTGTTAAATTATTTTTTCTCTAAACCAATAGGCTTATATAAAAAGTAAGAAAACCTCATCTACTGGCCTCTAATAATTACAATTTAATGAGTCTTTGTTTTGATAGGCATAATTCTTGTAACCTAGTACTGTAGTAGAGATCCACAAAGATATAATAGACTTTCTCTACTTAAAAAAAAAGGTTTTATTGGGTTCCTTTTTTAAAGGAATTTTTTTTTTTTTATTTTAACTTGGAAAATCAAGGTGGAGAAGGAATTAAAACCAGAACCTTTTAGGTAGTTAATTGGCATAGTTTTTTTTGTTGGTATAAAAATTGTTTTACCCGGACCTATGTCTCAAAAGAAAGAGAACAGACAAAATCTCCCAGTGGTTGCCTGTAGCCACTTGCTCCCAAAGGACTGTATTTGTTCAGAAGAGAGACAGAGTCTGAACGTTCCATTGATCTTCCCAATTATTATTAAATTTTTAGTGTGTGCTTTGAGTGATTTTATTATTTAAACATTTTTCTGTGTGTATCCTTAACTAGTTCTGTAGTGTCATTATTTCAGCCTTGGAAGAGATATTACCCCATTTATTTGATACCTCAATGTCCTCTAAAAATACGCTGTGCATAAAAAACAAAAGTCACTCATCACTTAATGTTGGGGATATATTCTGAGAAATGCATCCTCAGGCGATTTCATCATTCTATAAACATCATAGAATGTACTTAACCTACTGTACACCTAGCCTATGTGGTATAATCTATTGCTCCTACACTAAAAACCTACACGGCATGTTACTGAATACAGTAGACAATTGTAACACAATGGTAAGTATTTATGTATTTAAACATGTCGACATATAGAAAAGGCACAGTAAAAACATGATATAAAAGGTAGACAATGGCACACCTATAAAGGGGACTTACCATGAAGGGAGTCTGCAGGACTAGGAAACAGGACTCTGGGTGAGTCAATGAGTGGTGGGTGAGTCTGAAGGTCTCTAGGACATTACTGTGCACTATTGTAGACTTTATAAAATACTGCATGCTTAGGTTATGCTACATTTATAAATTTTTTTTCCTTTCTTCAATAATCAATTTACCTTAGCTTATTGTAACTTTTTTACTTATACCCTGTTTAATTGACTTTTTAATAAAAGCTTAAAATATTTTGTATAACTGTACAAAAATATTTTCTTTCTTCATATCCTTATTCTATAAGCTTTTTTCTATTTTTAAAATTATTTAATTTTTGAAACTTTTTGGAAAAACGAAGAAACAAATCCACCCTAGCCTAGGCAAACACAGTGTCAGGATCATCAGTGTCACTGTCTTCTACCTCCACATCTTGCCCCTTGGGAAAGTCTTCAGGAGCAATAACATGCATGTAACTTCATCTCTTGTGATTCTAATGCCTTCTTCAGAAATGCCACCCAAAGGACCTGCCTGAGGCTATTTTATAGTTAACCATTTTTTTTTTTTTTGTAACTAAAAGGAGTACACTCTAGGATTACAATAAAAAACGATAGTACAGCAAATACTAGGAAATAGGAATTTTTCAGCTCCATTATAACCCTATGGGACCACCATCATATATGTGTTCCATATGGTACATGACTGTATTTTATAGATATTGGAAATAAAACAAGATAGGAGGTAAGTTGCTCAGTGTTTTCTTGGATGTCATTGGTATAATTAGGAACAAAATCCTAAACTTAGTCACATGTTGCTTGAGAATTAAGTGCCAAGCAAATTATATAAAGTCTAGATATTTTGATATGGATGTCAAAGTGTATGATCATAACATGAGCATAGTAGAAAAACGGCTGTTCTATTCTGTAGAAAACTTGCTGTTCTTTCCCCAGACTCTCTTGCTATTGTGATTTAAAGTCTGAGAAGGAGATCTTACCTTGTGTCAAGAAAACTTTTAAAATAACAAACAAACATGCTATTTCTTTATCTAGATAAAAAGTAAAGTCAGCTTCTAATGGACATTCTTACTATTAGGTGAAAGGGCTTCAATAGTTTCAAGAGCCCAGTGTAAGTCAGTCAATTAAACTATGCTATAGTTTAGGACATAAATTTATGTCAGAGAAACATGAACTGAATTCAGACTCTGCATGTATCAAGTATGCAGTCTTGGGAAAATTATTTACTCTCTTTGACTTTCTAGCTCTTCATCTGTAAAATGAAGATAATAATATTACCCACTTTGAGTGTGCATGCAAATTGCTTAACACAGTATCTAACAGACAGTAAACACTTAATAAATGGTAACAGCTGTTGCTACTACTGTCGCTAAAATGGAGGAATTCTGAGGAAAAAACAACACCCCATTCTGATGAGACAATTTAATTCTAGAGCAACCTCAGACATATAAGTCTGTTCTGTTGGAGTAATCTCAAAGTGTGGAACTTGTTCCCACATAGTCAAATTTTTGTAACATCTTAAGTGTCCAAAATATAAGGAATTGATTACATAATATATAGCACCTCTGTTCAATAGACTACTATGCAATTACTGAATATTATGTTGTAGAAGAATATTCAGTGACAAAGTAAGATGGTCTTAATATGCTATTAATTAAAAGAGCAATTTCCTAAACATTACATACAGTATATTTCATTTTCATTTCATTTTATGTGCATGTATTTGCATGAAGAAAAACCTTGAATGATATATATATAAATGTTATTGATTAGGATCTTTGATAGAAGTATGAGTAACATTAAATTTTCTTTTTATTGCTTTCTCTAAATTCTCTATGATGAATATGTATTGCTTTTGCAATATAAAAAAATGAAAGTTATTAAAGCAAAGACATAGAGGGAGATAAAATAATTTTCTTGGTGACGTGAGGTATAATTTTCGAAAAACAAATAAGAAAACTTGGGTTTTTTACATCTGGAGTCTTCTAGAAATACCAGGTAATAAGGGAAAGATAGTGTAGCAAGACAATAACAGGAACATTCCAACTGTCGCATGACAGTTTCAGGCCATGATATTTACCTATTTACCACACTGTCTTAGAATCAGGCATGAATCTGTGAATCGTGCTATGACCACTTTATGGTTTCATGCAAATCCATACATTTCTTTAGTTTAGTAGTTATTTATACTTAGCAACTTCCAATATTAAAAGAGCTTTAAAAAATAACAGTTTGCCATCTTTGATTCTCCAGTCATGGTTTGTTTTATACATAACCCTCCATGTTTGGGGCAGCAAGCACAGAAACTGTCACTTAAACTGGAGGCTTTGCCAGGAATCTGATTCACAAGTCTGAGTCAGTTCTCCCACCCATCTCTCAGTGTTCATGACTCTGAGTAACAAAGTCTGCACTTAGTCTAATTAATTCCCCTTTGTTCCTTTCTTTCTTTTTTTTCTTTAATAAAAAGGCATTTTTGCATTTTCTCGCTCCATTTGCAGTGGATGAAAATGGTTAGACTCTTACCTTTCTGTTTGTCTTGTGGACTGTAAGTGCCAAATGGATGCAGTGTACTATTATCATTTCGCCTGGAGGTGGTTACAGCGTTTTGACAGTTCTCAAAGCATGGCTTGGAAAATGCCCCACACTCTGCAGGCTCCTAAAGGATGAAAATAAAAATTACATTTGCTTTTTTAATATGTTCCAACTTGGTCAATTGAAGCAAAGCGAAAGGATGATCAATTTATGAATAGCCTTTCGAGAGTCTATTACACGTAAGTTCTCAACTGTGGAAAATCAAAATGGCCCTATCGCTTAAAACATCTTTGAGTATGAAATAAAAAACACTGACGACGTGGTGCTAAGGATTAGGAGTGCTGATAGCCAACACAAAAGAGGATTAACTTTATTATTTTCCCCCCACTTACAACTGGCTTCTTTCAGATTTTCTTCCATCTGGGAGTGCAGCTTGTGGCAGTGTCAACACAAGAATACAGTTCATGCCAAGGGTGTTTCTCTGCCAACCAGCTGGTTCCTCTCTCTCTCTGCGACTAAGTGCATATGCTCTAGGACAAGTCAGAACCCAGGCAGGTTTGCCACCGAAATGTCATGAGTGTGTCTGCCTGCAGACACTAGGTCTTTTGGCCGGGAGCTATACCAAACTGCTGTGACAATGCCAGACAGTGGTTCTCCTGAGGTTTTATTTTTTTCTCTTTTTTCCATACTTGCCCTTCCTAGTTTGATTTTTACAAACTGTAAACAAATTCAAAACTGCTATATCCAGATTAAGATGCTCAAAAGCCATCTTCCACAGGTGCTGAAGGGGTGGGGGCCGATTATAGAGAACTCTACCTATTCTTTCAAGAGATGGGGGCAGAGAGAGCTGGGTTTTGCTCTGACTCATTTGTCTCTCTAACAGATTTTAATGAAGTAAATAATTTGGAAGTCATCTCATGGCTGTTCCCTTGATCATTTGTAAATGATCATTTGTGAAGTATGGAAAAAAGAGAAAAAAATAAAACCTCAGGAGAACCACTGTCTGGCATTGTCACAGCAGTCTGGTATAGCTCCCGGCCAAAAGACCTAGTGTCTGCAGGAGCTTGCCACACACAGGAACACAGACCTGACCCCTAAAGCTCTTTCCTTCTGAGAAAAGCATTGGGTGAAAACAGTGCATTTGATTTATATTTTCCTCTTTAGTTATAAAAATTCAACGTCTAGCTACTTAGACAAAATATTTAAAACATTCAATTTAGACATTCTTAATAATTAAAATGTTTTCAGTGGTGAAAGGTCCCTTAGCTTTTTGTCAAGGTTGGTAACATTTCTCCCACGCCCAACGTGTTACCCTTTACTTCTGTGCTGCCAGTCAAACCGAGCCTAATATAGAAGGCAGGCTACTCCTAAATTAAAGCTGGAGCCCTAGCAGGCAGGAGAGGTAGGACTGGCCCTGCACAGTCCTGTGCTTTGATTTAACAATAACAACAAGAACAGAAAAATTTTTTTTTCTGCTTTCCCAGCTCTTTGATAAATGACACAATCGATATCCCAACAACTGATCAGTAACCAGCCTAATTAAAGTATTCAGCCTGTAAAATAGAGCTGTCGTGGAACCCTCCATTAGTGTCCGAGCCAATAAAAAATATAATGGATTTTTAAACATATTCTGCTTCTACCAAGATGAGCCGGCAGCAGGGAGGGAGATGTTTTGGGGAAGGGAAAAACAAAATCAGGTCATAACCCATTTTTTAATACCAAGTCTCTAGGCTCAAATAGAATTACAATTGAACCTCAAGCTCATCCTCTGAAAAATATGTTTCTGTTTAAAACGATTTTGATTCAATCAAGGGCTCATTATGTATTCTTCACAGGGTCTTCATCAAAACTGTTTACATATCTTGTACATCTGGGTAATGTGGGAAAAAACCTCCAACAACTATATATTTTGACTTTTCTTAAGTAGCTTCTTCAATTTTTTTTAATATCAATATAACGTTCAAGCAGCCATTTTGGTATTCTTGCCAAATCTGACTAATTGATTTGCCTGAATGTGTCAACAGTGCTGAGACCTTTTTCTGGGTTATGATACTTTTTATTGTGCTGGAGGGCGATTGTTGTTCCACGGGAGAATACACCAAAAACAAGAGTACACAATATATGCTTTGATACAGAAAAATACAGATTTGGGAGATGAAATAGCTTCAATTTTTTTTCCAATTTAATGAAGATAAGCTGTACATTAGTCTGCTGTCTTTACAAGAAATAATGCTCTTTAATCTTCATGGGTACCACAGAGATTCTCAATAGCTGAGAGTCAAGTGCCAGCTCATTCCCCATGGAAAGCATGTAAATATTAGGGAAACTAAAAATGGATCTTGTTTAAATGTCCTCACAGAAATTGCTTTTTGCCCCAGTTCTTATTCCCAATTGATTCCCCGGTGATCTATATTAACAAGACACTTCTGAGAATGGGCAACAAACTGCAAGTTTAGTATTTTCTTCTGATGGAATAATGTCAATCTGCCCCAGAGTGTGAGAATTAAAGGGAAAATACCTGCAGTGAAGAGGAATGCAAATGGCAAAGTGTATCGACTCTAACACATATCTACTGACATCCACACATATTTCAGATAAAGACATGAACTCAGGGAAGATCTGAGGTGGGAGCTTAGCTAAATCTTTTAGGACCATATTCATTTCTTTCTTTCTTTTAAATTTTACTATGTGAATGGAGATGGTCCATTATAGCAGTGTCTTCCAGATTTTTCCATTAGTGAAGTCATCTTTGTTAAAGAAACCTTAAGGGAGCTCTAACACACAGATGTGTAGGAGGGATGACAAGGGTGCTCACAGACTATCTGTCCAACTGCCTCCAATAGATGGGTGCCATGGAGTCCTGGGGCTCTGGAGTAAGAACCAAATTAAACCAGATGGGGCTGATTCTCTTAGGGTAGGATGCAGTAGATAAGGGCATACGTACACAAGTAGAGCCCATTAAATATTCATGGGAGGCTCTGTCACTTAAGCAGACGCAAATGTTGAAAACGAGTTTGTTCATTATATTTAGTCTCCAGTAATTGGCCAATTTACATTTATTTAACATCTACAAGGTTATGTATAAAGAGTATAAAAGGTACAGTTACCCCTTTCCAATAGCTGATAATATAACAAAGTAAGATACAGTTTATAACTTTACTATTCAAGTTTACTTTCTCAGATGAAGTAGGTCTCAGACACATTTTCATTCATTCAATAATATTCATTAATTGTCTATATTATATGCTTGGAAATGAGGATGCATTAAGAGATAAAACAGACAACAATATCTGTCATCTATAAATACTGAGCACTCAACTAGGTATATAGTTACATAGTCAGGAAACAGCAAACCTATATTTTAACCGTAACCGAAGCAATTCAAAACTCCAGAGCCCGAGCTTTTAACTACAATGAGCCCCACTACCATCCACTCTTGTTTAATTTGATAAAACTTTTGCATTTTACATTCTTAAGTTGAACTTATTGTTAAACCTAATTTTAATATTAGTGGTTTTAATAGTATTCTATTTTCACTTTGCATATTATTGTATTATACAAACATAATTCGGTCTTAGAGAATAGAATATCCTGATGTCATAATGTGTGATTTGCTGATGTTTTTCTTAACTTTTAGCACTTTTAACTTTTCTTATCTTTTCCTAAAATAATTTTAGGAGCATTTAATAATTATTCTACATATATAAAAGAAAATAATATTTTAGGAAATTTTGTATTTATTATATGTAAGTGAAATGTTTAGGGATATTAGCATTCAAGAATATTCCATGCTTACACTTCATGTGTAAGTGCAAATATTCCTGACATGTAAAATAATTGATAAAGAAATCATAAAAAATTCCTCCAAAATAAGACTTCCACTTATTTAATAACATGAGTGGGCAGCTTGTCTAATAAATCCAATTTTAAATTAATTAAGTCTCAGGTCTATATTATTTCTGTGCAGATTATGGGGGAGAATACAGAGAGCTGATTGCATTATAATGCTCTTCACATTAAACATCGTACACATCTCATTAGAAACTTTCTATAGCATGAATACTGCTAGCATATCAACCAAAAGGTACATAAAGATGTTTATGAGTAAGTCCAGAGTTCTTGGAATTTCTGGGAGAAAAAAAACTAGAAAGTATGGACCTGTTACATTTGATAAATGACTTGCTTTATATGCACATTTTTATACCTTCTCTTTATACCTAAAATATACAACCACCTGTTCCCCTCATAAATCTGTCAAAGCCCTTCTGGGGCATATTTCCCCAACTGGAGAATCAATATGATTCTGGCTGCCATACTAGTAATGGAAATTTGCATATTCTCGTGGCCCCTGGGCGATTTGCTGAGGAAAATCAAGATTTGGATCACCTCCATCGGTCTCTCTGGCCTCCTCAGAATCACCAGCTGAATCATCCCTCGTATATTTCCTTCCATGGACATGGATCGTCTAAGTGTTTCCATAGCTTCGTGGTTGGACTTTCCCAAAAGCGATTCCCCATTAACTGCAATCAGCTGGTCATTCATTCGCAGACGACCATCCTACCAGAGAGGAAAGAAAAACAATATTAAACAGAGAAAAGCATGGTGATGAGATGTGGCTGTTTCAGGGAAAAAAGTTCAAGTTTAAAAATGAAAAAAAGAAAAAAAATTCAGCTATTAGAAATGATTTACTTTTCGTGGCAGAAAAAGGTTCTAGAGTTTATCAAATAGTTACAAACACTAATAATGAATTGTGTGAAAGTATTTTTTAGAAACTTTAGTGTCCTGAGCAAAAATAATTTAGACATTTGTATAATGTCTCTTACCTAAATCCTTGGCAAGCATGCTAATCTAGCCTGATTCTGCCATTTGCTCTGGCAGGGGCCATGTTGCTGACTCAAGGGAAGGGGATTTGGAGATGAAAGGAGGTAGTCATATCGCTCGAAATGAGGGTTTGCATTTCCAGGCACGGAAAGACATCATGCTTAAATGCTGTGTACTTGACAGTAGCAATGTGTCTCCCAGATATCGTTGCTGGCTCTATTGAACAGTGCTAAGAAAAATCCTCATGTAATTTTCTCTAACATAACCACAAAGTTGCTAGTCTGCAAAAGAACACAGAGGTGTGTAGAAAAGGACCAATTTGACTTGATAACTTCTGGCAGAAACGCTTGACAAAAGGAATTGTCAAGCTTTTTGGGGGAGGCTCTGACTGATTAATACTTTCACCCAGCAGCTCCAGGAAGAAACATAACTTACTACAAAGTACAAAGAACCTCGGCATATGAATAGGCAGCCCTCTGGGTCTAAATCTGGTCTAAGTCACTTCGAGGCACTAATCATCTACATCAAGAAGTCCCTTATAAGTTGGGGTCTCCAGCAGTAGTTAAAAAACTGGGATGCCAGCTCTGCCCTTCCAAGGACTTAAGGGGACCACTGTGCATTTCCCCAATGTGTAGCATGGGAGGAAGGATGCTTAAAATGTTGACAATCAGATTGGGGACATGCCCTATACATATTTTATATTCAGGTAGAAAGTGCTTGCTATGAGGCACAGATGAATTAGGATGTTATCATACTGTTCCTGCTGCTGCTAAATTTAACAGAAATAACAATAAAACTGTATTAATATAACAGTCTACCCTTCCAGAGAATTCTTCCATAAATTATCTCTAAGGATTCTCACAGAACCCAAGAATTTACATAGGTTCATGTTTTCACAAACATTTTACAGAAAAGGAAACCGAGGCAGGGAAGTGAAGTAACTTGCTTCAGGTCACAAAACCAAGTCAAAGGCAAAACTGACTTGTGTTTGGCATCCACGAATCTTGACTCTTTTGTTTATCTACTATAATTCCCTTTGTTACTTGTCTCTAGACTACAGTTGTGCAACACCAAAAGAGGGAAAGGAAAATATTAAAGAATTCCTGTGGTGAGAAGTATCTGGGATTCATGGTCAAAGCAACAGAATGAAATGCAAAAGGAAACCTCTTCCTAAGAAATGAGATAACCAGACATACACAATGAACAACAGAACCAACCATACAGCTTTGGGAGAGAAATTCTGTGGACAGGTTGATAAAATTGGACTCATGCAACAGCAGATGGTCAGAGGAAGTCCCTCTGCTGACAGCAGAGAAGAGAGAGACAGTGGTGAGAGCTGCACTTCCAGAGGAGAGCTAACACCTCGTGGCGGCATGGCACATGCTACCTGCTGGAGAGGGTGTTGGCCACACGGGACTGCAGAGGCCACCCAAAGGAGGACACAGCTACTCGAAGAAATGGAGATTGCAAGGCAATGAGATCAGTAGATAAGGGTGTAAAATCACAGATGTAAACTGTTTGAGTGGACTACTTCAGCACAGCTTAATGTCCCCTGCCTTCCTTTGTTTTCCCACTTCACTTAACCTTTACCCTAATTTAGAGCAAGTCTAGAAATGAGATTTACAGGAAAGGCCCAACAAGAAAGAAATCTCTTTATTTCTGTTATCCAATTTTGAATGAGGCACATAAAAGAATAAGATTAAGACTACATAAAATGCGATAAAACAAAAACAACCTAATGGTTTAGTCATGTGAAATGAGACACGACTGGAGAAATTATTCTGTTCTATTCAGTCATATAATGAAAGGAGGACTACTGGGCTGAATCTTGTCACTAAACATCTATTTAGTGGTTTTTAAAGAGAAGGAAGACCCACAAGAGTGGGATCAGGATCCTGATCCTGTCAGCAGGAAATGAGGTCTGGTGTTCAGATTGTGGTGCTTAGTCTTGGCAGGACACCTCATCCGCCATGATAGATAGGAAGAAGCAGCTTTATGGGGACTTCTAGAGATGAAGGGAATGAAAGCCTAGAGACATCCCACTGGTAACCTCTGGTGAGCCTTCTCTGTGAGTTTGAGGCAAGGTCAGAGTGAAGAGGTAGATGAGACATAAGCAGATATGACAACATTTTTCATAAACTCTCTTATCATCAGCTATTAAACACAAACTTTTATTTTCAGCTACATTCTAAGTCTCAAGCATGGAGAATTACATTGAAGTAGGACATATTTAGTGTAACCAAGTCCCAAACAAAAAGACAGATCAGGTCACGCCAGAGCAGCTGGAATTTTTTTTTTTTTTTCAAAGACATTCCCATTCATCACAAGCATCACCAGAGAGTTGTGGGCATGATAAAAATCCACACAGTCTCATTTCCAGGCTTGGCTAGTTTGCTGCTATTGGTGTGTGCTTTTTCTTTGTAAGATAAATAATGGGTAATTTCATTGATGGTGATGCCAGGAAGCACCATGTTGCTCTAACATTTAGAATATAATCACAGATTTAGAGCTGAAAAGGTCCTTAGAGGTCATCTCATCCAACCTCTTCTGTTTAGAGATGAATAATGTGATGCCCAAAGAGGATGAAAACCATTTGTCGAACACCTAATAAGAGAAGGCACTTCCACACATATTTAGGACTTGCTCAGCTAGTTAAGGTCAGAGTTGGAAGAGCATATCTCAAGTCCTGAATTCTACTAAACCATTCTGTCTTATGACTAGTCCCTAAAGCAGTAATCTTCAAGAAAAGACTTTTCAAAACTAGAGAGTACAATATGTGACCAGACGTCTCCTGGAAGAAAACGCTATGACATCAGAGACACACAACAGAAGATGTGGAGACAGGACATTGTGCAGGGGGTGGCAAAGCAAGGAAGCAAGCTAGAGGAGAAAAGAAGAAAAGCTGTCTATCTACCTAACTATACGTCCATGTAAGGCTCATCTATGTCTAGGCTTGACTTAAAAGGAAGTTGACTCAGTGAAAAGCCCATCAATTCAAACTCATCAAATATCTCTAACATTGTGTAAGTCCACTCTGCTCTGGAATAATTTTGATAAAGAAAATTAGCTTTTTATGGTTTTATTTTTTCTATGAATATTATGTTTAAGTAAGCATGTAGGCATGAGAATATTAACCCTCAACTAACTTCACATAAGTGAATTCAACTATACAAAGATGTTACTTAGTAATTCTAGGATATTTATTTCATTGTAATCTGGCTCATGCTTGCATTTGTCACAGAAAAAAAGAAATCCGTTTCTTTCCTACCTTCTTCCCATTAGAACCCTAAGCAAAAAAACCTCAACTATGCTCCCCACCTCTGGCATCCCTCAGAACCAACTCTGTCATCCTCAAGCTAGAAAAGAGCAAAGGACATTCCCAAAGAGAAGGAAAAATAGAGTCAGGAGAACAGACTAAAGATAAAAAAGTAACTTCTCTCAGGGTACTTCAGGACAAACAGAAACTGGCATGAGGTTAGGTCTTGCCTGTGTCCTAAGATGGTTTCAAAACTTATCAGCCTTAATTGGTTTTCTCATAGTAGGAAACAAAGTGCACCAGGAGACAAGATATTTTGAGTATTATAATACATATACCTTGTCCTGAACATGCAATATAGGCCAGTCCTTGTGCAAATCTTTTGCATACATTTGCTCATTCATTTCTACAACCACCATGTAAGAAACTCTATTGATGCGGAAAGCGTCAGGCGCCGGGATGGGGCCGTTTGCTGCCTGCCTCCCCCACCACGTTCAGGGCTGGCTGGAGGCCATGGCTGGTGCGGGCTGCTGGGGCTGGGCCTCCCAAATGCCTGCTGTCGTGGCCAACGGCCGCTGTCCGGCCAGTGCTGATGTCTGCTGTTGTGGCCCACACTCAATGCTCGGCTGCCTGCTCCCATCCTCCAGCCGTGTTGCTTGCATGATCCTGATTGGGTAATTTTTGAATCCCATTGTTGCTGATTGGATATTAAAGCTTGTTGCTGATTGGATGTTAAAGCTTGTAGTTGATTGGACACTTTTTGAGTGCTACCAAGGGTATAAAAGCAGGAGGAGACCAAGGAAAGGGGGTCAGAAGATCAGAAGATGAGAAGAGAGCTGTAACACTTGCTGTGCTGAGCCTGCTGGCTGAATAAAGGCTGTTCTCTGACTTTTTGTGTGCCGCTTGGTTGTTTCTTCGGTCAAGAGCTGTAGCACTAGCTGTACACTTGCTGCAACACTATTAACGCTATTCTCTACTATTTAAGATATGTAGGCTTAGAGACATTAAGTAATTTGTCAAAGGGTTGTGGCATGGCCAGAGCTCTTTGTCTCTAAAGTTAAGGATATGTATCCATTATACTACATTGCTTCTAAAATCAGGGTTCTAGAGATTACTAATGGCATTATGACAATAATTTTTTTGTTTAAGAATAATATGGGGATACAAATGGTTTAGTTACATGGATCCCTTTTGTACTAAGTGTACCCATCACCCAAATGGCACACATTGTACCCATTAAGTATTATTTCACCCATCCCCTCCTCCCCACTCCCACCTGCATGATTCCCACTGAGTTTTACTTCCATCTATGCATATTAGTGTTGATTGGTTAGTTTCAATTTAATAGTACATGTGGTATTTGTTTTTCCATTCTTGTGATACTTCACTTAGGAGAATGGTCTCTAGTCCCAACCAGGATGTTGCAAAAGGTACTAATTCATTCTTTTTTATGGTCAAGTAGTCCTCTATGCTATACATA